GCAAGATGCATAATCCACTTAGCCTTGGACATTTTGGGGCAATCAAAGGTGGCTGTCAGTGGGCTATGGCTGGCAACATGTTAGTTTGGAGAGGTTGCAGGCTGCAGACAGACACAGAATTCGGTCATTACGAGGTTGGGGAACCATAATATCCGAACACATCCTTCCTGCTTGGCTGGCTTTCCCCGACTTTCCCGCTTTCCCGCTTTCCCACTCCAACTGCCAGTTGTGCAAGGAAAAGCGGCCACGAATAGTTTCGGGCCGCTGGCTCCCTTTTGTCGTTTTCATTTTTTGTGAATATGTATATTTTTCTTCGCGTTAGAAGGAGTGTTGGGGGGTTGGGAAAATTCGAGTCATGTGTGGCAGACATGCATAATTCAAAACGTGGCTGGGAAAATGTTTGTCCTGCATGTGTGTGTCTGTGTGTGTGTTGCCACTTTTTATGTTGGTAACTCGACTGCGGGGAATATATGTTTGTATGTCTGTATGTTTGTGTGCGGAGCTAACGCAATTTTCGTATGGTGAAAAAAAGAAACGAGCAAAATGTCACCGCCTTCGCCTTCTGTTTGACATATTTTTCACACAACGTCTGCTTGTTAAATTGTTGGCGGCAATTTTGAGGTTAGCGTGACAAACAAACACTGCCACACCAGCACAAACACACTCACCAATACACATGCACGGTTGCAAGGACATGCCAGTGCAACAGAATCGGTGTTTGCCAAGTTCCTTGGGGTTTTTGCGCTTAAACTCGGGCTTAACGGACTGAGTCTGGGTTTTCTAACAACTTTTTTTGTAACCTAAGGAAAGATAATATGTGAAAAAAATAGTATGTCTTAATAAAATTTAATTTACTATAAATAATAAACGCATTTCTATCTAACATTACAAATTATAGCCTTAAAATTTAAAAAATCCTATATTACTTTGTTGATAACTTGTTCTATTTTGTAGACACTGTGATATATCTCTAAGAATAGGGTAAAACGAGTATGGCCTTATGACACTTGTTCAAATGTCGAGTTACGGAAAGGACTAAATTACAAATGCAGGGCAGCCTATAAAGGAACGCTGAATTAAAGTATTAAATGAAAATGTATCTGTTAAAATAATTTATATTACAGTTTTTCAATAGCTTACTTTGTTAAAAGACTCTAAAAAATATGGCTCTAGCAATCCTCCCCGAAATTTCTCTAATATTTTATTTCCTCAGAGAACACATCTGTTTATAGAATCTATAATATAGATTAAATATAGCTTATCTTAAAACTAATAAAGAGCTCCAGACATTTAGTCGAAATGTTAGCCAGTGTGATATGGCCACAGCCAACCCTCTGCAATTTTTCTCCGGCATTTTATTTTCCCAAATAAATAGTTGCTTAAAAGTTACTTAACCCAGATTAAAGAGTGTTAAATAATGACCCAGTGAAAATTGAAATCAAACATCCCCAGCACATTTCCGTGTTGATCTCACACCATTTTTAATAGACTTCCACCGACATCTGACAGGGTTAGTAAATATGCAAAGTTGCTTTTTATCTTGGCACATTTCTCTGCAACGTTTTCCATATAATGGCACGCGAATTGGAGAAAGAAGGTGGAAAGCAGGGGAAAGGGCACAAAGAAAGTTGAGAAAGTAAGAGACAGAGGCGGAGAGAAAAGGCGAGGCGGGATTGAGAATCGCTTGCATGTTTAGCACTTGACGGCTTAATGGCGAACAATTTGGGTTAAGACAAGGGCCACGCCCCCTTCACAACTGGACTCGACGGGCAGAAAGGACTGGCCCGGATTAAGGGATATATTCCTTATACATAGTGAGATATAGTGGCAGCCAAGGGGAGCTTAAATAGGGACATTTCAATTATGGTGAGAGGCCTTAAAGAAAAACCTGCCAGTTATGGAAATTTAAGCTGAAATCGTTTAAGTAATCAATTTCCGCAGTGGAATGCACTCGCAAAAGATGAAAATCTCATTTCCCGGAGAATTGTTTTAACTGCAATTGTAATGCGAGACATAAATAATTCGCCCGAGGAGCGGAGAGCCAAGCGGTTGAAGCGTCGACATGAGGGACAGGACTCGAAGGACTCGAAGGACTCGCAGGACACGAAGGACTCTAGCCACCCACTCGACCAATAGCCACTGGCCAAAACAGGACAAACAACATGGTCGTGGGTAGATGGAAAAGTGGTGAGAAGGGTTCGAAGGGGGCCAAAGGATTGAGCCCTGAGCTTAACAAACATGCAGCTGCCAAGAATTTATTGGCTGGACAATGACAACGACAAGGACCGAGCAGGACAATTATCATTGTAAACATTTTGCCATGACTTCAGCAAAATGAGGAATGGACTACCGAAAGGGGGGAGAAATGGTTTTAGCTTGCCATTCAAGCTGCTTTTTTCAGGATCGGCTATGTGTTTGTGTGCCTGGCCAACGTTTTCTTGTATTTGCTTGTCCAACTGTCAGGAATTTCCATCGCCTGAAAATTGAAACTTTTAAGTTGCCTTTTAATCTTTCTAAATTTTAAAGTTTAAATTAAATTTAGATAACTGGAATGTGTTTGGAAATAAAAGACTATCAGAGTACTGAGAACCTTCAGTAGCATTTTATTAATTTCCCGAAACTGATCTCGTTCTTAAGCTCTTCTTTAGTTTTTCTTTGGCAGTTTAACTATAAAGCAACCATGGTTTTAATAATATTATAATATTATAACATTTATATTATCATCTCGATAATCATCCCAAGCTCATCAGCCAGAATTTATGAACAATACCTTTTATAAAAGTTAATTTTAATGCTATTATCCATGGATACTGGCTAGCAAATCAAATCACTTAATTTCTATCAAAAATTCCCAATCTATTTATTTTTCAATAAACTGTTATCACCAGTTTATCAGTCAAAATATCATCTATAAAAGTTGTCCAATTATTTTTGAACTTATGCCATCGATAATAGATGAAAACAAGGCAAATTTGATGATTTCATTTGCAGTTTTTGTTGCATTTACCTCCTATCATAGATTCCCATTTTATATCTCTCAATTTTGCAATATCCTCCAGCCGAAGCCATTAGTGCCTCTCACTTTTCCGACTGCCGCGAGCAAAGTTTTCCCGGGCAACATAGTTTCGGTTACATTCTCAAGAGGTGGGAAAGAGGAAAATGCGATGGGGCGGCGAGTTCTTCAGTTGCAAAAGTGCATTAGACGCAAAGTAATCGATACTCAATGGAGGAGCATCTCTGCCCGAAATGCTTTAAGCCTTCAATCAGAAGATGTGTTTGAGTTATCGCCCCGCTATTTCGGGGTTTTCCGGGGGCGGGGATTTTGTGATTCCGGGAAATTTGTTTAGCCAACGTTAAGTTTACGTTTATAGGACTTATCAGTTTCCCCAAATTGAAATGTTTGCACTCCGCTGAATCTGCACGCGCTTCCTTCCGGTTTTGTTTACTTTCGTGGCGTGTGTGTGCGTGGGTTAGTATCTGTGTGAGTATCTATGTGCTTATCGAATTTACTTACTTATTTAGGTGGCTATGTTAATGGCGTATTAGAATGCGAAAGAGGTGGGGTTTCTGGGGGGAGTTCTGAATGCCATCATCTAGCCGTTTGAATGCCAGGTTAGGTAAACACTTGTGAAATGAATTAACTTTAAGCCGCAAAATTTGTGCTCTTGTGTGGGTGTCCCTGTGTGTATTTAAGCACTTGTGTGAGTGTGAGTGTGCATATATAAATGCTCGTAATTGTTTATTTACATAACTTGACATAAGATTAAAGACGCTTTTGATTAACGATGCGAAAGACGGCAGGGACTTAAAATTAAATTGCAAACATTAAATTGTTGACATGCAAAGATGTAAGCCAACGTAGGTGTCGTCGTTCTCGGGATAATACAAAGAATATTATATTCAATTTCAGTCTGTTTTTGTGATTGTCGAAAAGATTTACAGTAAGTCAAAGTTGATTGGTAGAAATGTGTTCTTATAGACTTAAAATAATATAATCAATTTATCAACAAACTTGTATTTTGAGACTTTTGAATGTAACATAACATCCCAAAAGTTCTTGAAATAGATCCAGAAAACTAACTAATTTAATAAGAATAAATTGCCATTTGCATTATGCAGACCCCATTATTTGGGTGACAGCTTTTTAGAAACATTTTCCCGATTTCAATTAGTGTCAAATGCGCAGGAATAACAAAATTTGCTGCTTCATCCATATTCATTCAGCCCAAGGCATTTATGTGCGGATTTGCGCGAAAAAATGCCAAAAAGTTAGACGACTGGGCGGAGAGGCCAGATGGGGAGTTGGGGAGTTAGGGAAAAGCCGCCCTAAGCCATAATTTAATATATTGACACAAAGCTTTGTCGTAAGACGTGTCCTGGCACCATCATAATCCCCAATATTGTATATTGACAGCTGTCAAAGGAGCCACTTCCCCACTTGCGTCCTCCCAAACGAAAAAACCACAGAAAAACTGCGAGGAAAAGTAAGTTTTTGGCTTAATGCGCAACTATGCGGAAAATATTTGCGCTTAGTTTGAGTTCGGCATAGGAAAATGTAGTCCCACACATGAACCCCGGCTACGTGTGTTGGTCGCAGGACATGGAAGTGGATGTGCATGTGGAAGGGGGCAGGTCCTTAAGCCCGGGAAACAGGTTGGCCCACAAATGAACTGGGCCAGAAAAAAAGAGGAGCGAGATAACTTTAAGACGCCGGCATTAAAGTCCAGATCCGTCTTCAATCGGCGGAGATTACCCCGGGCGAAATTCAAATGTCCTCGTTGCTGGGTTCCATTTAATTTATTAAATGAATATATTTATTGAGCGGTTGGAAAAGGCAGATTTATTAATTGCACTTACATTTAATGCTGCTCATGACAAGTACTTGATTTTCTTAGTATCAAGAGACTCTAATACACCTCGTGTGCACAGTATTGCACTCCACACCTTGACAAAAAAGAACAAAACATTTTTTAAAAAACGTTCTTTAATTATCCATTTAATTGGGTTATTTGGCCTTCTTCCGAAATATCGTCATCATCAAAACTTATAAATTCTTTTGACTTAGGTTTCCTGATCAAACAATTATCGATTTCTTTAGGCGCAGCTCTATTCAGTTTCAGAATGGCCATACCAAGTAGGTACGTTTGCGGGTCCTCCAGGATCTGTCATCAGGACTCTCTTAAAGAAGCCCAGGGATCCTATGTAGTCCTGGTGATTGAAGGCCCAGCACCCACGTCCAATCAGAACCAGAATATGGTTCGACTTCTGTCTGAGAATGTCGATAAAGAGAGCATCTTCCTCTGGAGCTGTGCTGGGTGATAGCATTATACCTTTACTACCCATGCCGCCCAGGATCGTCAACGAACCATAGACCGTCTTTCGTTATTTATGGGCTAACAAACGCCATATTTCCGTATGTTTGATGATGTTCCTTGTTTGGATAGGGATGTCGATATGAAACTTAGACAGTGTGGTAGCGGAGGCATTAGTCCACTTGCTACCGTTTAAGTGGACAGGAAACACCTCGTGGAATCACTGGAGCACCATACTGGCATTCGGAAGCTTACTAGCTTGGATGATCTTGGTGCTTAATGATACTCCTTCACCAGCTCCGAGGTCCGTTTCTTCTTGCCCGTCATCTGCAGCCATTCGATGTACTGAAATTGAGAAGTTATGTTAATTTATTTTGCTGCAGTTATGCTTTTAATGGGTTAATGTAGAGGAGACCCATCGAAAGATGCTATTCTGCCTATGCAAAAAACCAGACTCCTTGGAAGAAGGATGGCATTTTACCTATGAACACTATGATTACAGAACTTCATTTGATCATATTCTCTTTTACTCCGGTCTATACAAATTAAATTTCATAAAAATCGGACAACAATATCATACAGCTGCCTTCTACGGCAAATAAATGTCAAAAAGAACACATATGCGCTGGTAAATTGAAATGTAACATTTTCTTCATATTTCTGTAAATATTTTTTAGTTTTCTAAAATCGGAAAACTCTATGGTCCCATTGAAACAACCTGCAAGGGTGTATAAACTTCGGCTTGCCGAAGTTTGCTACCTTTCTTGTTTCTCCGTTTCAGTACATCGAATGGCTCCAGGTGACGGCCAAGATCATCAGTAGTGTGCTCCAGGGATTCCAGAAGATATTTCCGGTCCAACTAAACCCAGTATCAAGTATACTATCGCGTCCGCCACCACTCTGCCCAAGTCCCATATCAACATCGCCATCGAAACTAGGAGCTTCAACAAACAAATGAAAATATGGCGTTTGTTTGCCCATATGAAACAAATTGTGGTCGGTTAGTTTTCGTTACTGGGGTGAATGGTTAAAAAGCTGTGGGAAAACGCCATTAGCAAAAGGAAAAGAGTTAAACAACTGCTTTACCTTTCTTCATACGATCTCCAGGTCGGTTGACTAGGAAATATTTACTTGGCCTGGCCTGTATGGTCCTGCGTAGTTTACCCGGCTCTTTGTAATCCATGTTGGTAAAACGGACTGCCAGCAGGATATTAGCCCTGATCAGATCCTCTTTGTAGGACCCTTACGGAGTTCTGCACTTTTTAATGCCTGCCTCCAGGAGCCTCGAAAAGGTCCCCCTTTGACAATTGGAGTAGCGCGTCAGCTGAGGAACATATCCTTATTTCCCTTTCAATATGTGTAGGTGTAACTCAAGAACTCACCACTTTTTGAATGCAAGTGTGCAGTGGCTTTTCCTCCAAGTTGGGTAAATGCCCATTGGCATACGAATCACCACAATTTTTTTCGTTAGCACCTGAACACTTTCACTTTCGACGGAACATTGAATTTTCTTTGACAGGTAGGGTTGGGTACGGAAAACTTTTTAAGAGGGCTGCTAAGATTTAAAAATATCGTGACTTGGCTATCGGTTCTATAGTTCTTGATATGGTGTACAATTTAGTTGTATTAAAATCTTTATTTGTTGCGACATGTTTTTGGTTTTGGAATACCAAATAAATTTTTTAAACAGTCCTAGATAAGTCAATAAACTTAAATTGCGTTATTTTATTAATTAACCTGTTCATTTAACAGGCTTTCGGTCGATTTGCATTTAACACTGAATTGAAAGAACCGGTTTAGTCGGAAATTGCTTTTATTTACAAACGAGTAATGAAGTTGAACAAAAACCTTAATAATTATCAGTAAGTAAGTAGTATATAATGGTTATATAAAAAGTAAATATTGTATAAACGGACATCTTTACTGTACCATTTCTACTAGAGGTGCAGAAAACATCGCTTTTCCGCTGTCTTAAGAGGCAACCATCGATGAAACATCGAAAAACATCGATGTTTCTCCACCTCTAATTTGTACCCGAGTAAATATTTAATTTCAAATGTTGGATTTACGCTTCTTAGTTTTCATTCAGCTATTCCCTTTACTTGGTTTTCTTAATGGATTTTTAATTTTTATTTTCTGCGTTTTCCTTGTATATTATAGTTTTTTAAGTCAGAGCTGAACTGAGGGTATGGGACCAAATCGAATTCCATGGTAATGGGAATCCGAGTGGAAATTTATGCAAACTATGCGGTAATTTGTTAACAATTTTCAGCCTAATTATCGATTCAAATGGTTTCCGACAGCAACGGTTGAAAAGCTAGAGGCCAGAACTCCAATTTTTTTCAACTTATTTTACTTTTATTATGTACACGTAATTTTGACAACCTATTTAATTTAAAGAAGAAATTGTTGTAGAAATCGATGGCACAAGATCTAGGGAAAGTTTTGGCCCCTAAATTGGGCCAGGGATTTGGCCAGCATTATAGAAGCTTCCTGGGCGCGTCGTGATTTCCCTTGGATCAACTGTCGTCCGGAAGTGGGATAGGTGGATTCAGATCCCTGCTCGGGGACCCTGTTTAAATCGTTGGTGGTGTCAATAACTGCTTTTGCTGGACTCGAATGAATTTCCACTCCTTCGAGCGATTTGGACGAGGGAGATAAATACATATTTTCGATCTGCGATTGATGTGTTATATCTGGCAGGGAACTGCCTCCGAAGTTGGAAGCCGTTCTTATTAGTCGTTTTGGGGATACAGAATCCACAGTTAATTCCTTCACCCGATCTGCATAGCGTAGGGTATTCAGAGTGTTCTCCACCGAGTGCAAGCCGGGTGAAATCATGGCTATCATGCAGGTCTTGACCTTCTTGCCCCCAATAAAGGAGTCCCGCAGGACCTGAGTGAGCTTGGAGCCCCGAAAGGGCAGATGACCCGACTGGCGACCCAGAGCCCGAATGCATTCCTTCAGGACCAGCAACGACTTGTTGATCTCCGATCCTTCCAAGCGGGTCACCCTATCCGCCGAGCTATTATCCGCACCCCTTTCATTTCCGGCCAAATCTATTAGCGAGAATTTTCCATGCAAACGACTATTCGCAGAGGATCTCAAAGAGATTTGAAAGACTGCATGGGATCGAGAGGACTTGGCATTGGCCGAGGTTTGACCCGAGGTGCGTACACTATTTCCCAGTTCCAGTAAAGCCAATACTTCGCCAGTGCTATTCACAGGATTCTCTGTGAGACCCACCACTTGCACCTGCTGATTGCCATCTTCCAGGACTCTTAATTGCGGCTTCCCCGGCATAAGGAGATCATACACCCGAGAGCCATATATCTCGAAGAAACTGCAGGAGACTTTTAACTGGAGTTTATCATAAGAGGGCGACTTAAGAGTGGTAAAGATATCCCCGGCGGCCATGGCATAGATGCCATCCATAGAGCTCTGCTGTCTTCCGGTGAACTGACCACCCATCGTGTGGGTCTTACCACTTCCGGTCTGTCCGTAGGCGAAACAAGTGGCCATTCCGCCCTCGAAGATGTGCCTTATCAGGGGGCGGGCTGTATATTCGTATACCGTTCCATTAGAGCAATCCTCATTGAAGACGTAATCGAAGCGGAAACTGTGGTTTTCCAGGAACTTGGACAGGTTCACATGCTTTCGTGGCTCGTGCACCACTAGCATGTCTTTTGAAGGTATACTAACCACATCCAATTCCCCATCCGCCAGCTCCTTGCGTCTCAGCGGTCTCTTCCTGACACAGACCACAATTTGGTGTTCCTTGGGGGGATTATCGGTGTTTCCACTCTTGACTGGATGACTCTTCATCTGGAGGCGTTGCAGTCCTATCATCCTGGCTATCTCCCAGTTGGGATTCCCGCGATCTTCACTCTTTTTCTGACGAGCCTGCGTATGGGTTTCCCGCCTACGTTCCCTTTGTTTTCGCATCCTTTCCACCTGGGCTACCACATCGTCCTCTCTTGGTGGCGCCACCTGGCGGGGCGAGGCAGTGGCAAATCGAGGGGGGAAACTCCCTGCTGCCATGCGTTGTTTCATGGAACGCGGTGGTATGGAAGCCAAGGTGCCACTGCAACGTGGAGGATCGAAGATCTGGGGGTTCATCAGCATCACCATTTCCAAGGGCAGCTCCTTGCCCCGCACAGCATGTCCTTCGGGCCACTCCACCGTCACCAGATTATTGGCACCGCCCACCAGTTTGATAATCCCCGCCAAGTGGACTCGGCCGTCCGAACGGCGGATAAACACCTTCTGGTTGATCGACAGCTGGTCCATGGCCAAAAACAAATCCGATATCCCCCAACCCCTGTCTTCCGACGCTCACTTTCTTCCGATTTCTGCAACAAATTTATTTCTTATTACTGAAAATTTTCACCAAATACGCGTGCATAATATTTGGGCCGAATCCAGAGATTGCCGATTTTATGTTTTGTTTTAGCTGACAAAGGCTAAAAAACAAAAGTGACAAGCAAATCAAGGCTTGGGAAAACAAATTTAATTTTATTTATTATAAATTTATATTTTTAATTTGTTGAAATCAAAAGTATTATTTATAAATACAATATTTCTATTAGGACTCAACATCAGGGCCTCAAAATAGGTTTTTGCAACAACTTATAACTTGTTTCCATACTGAAATTGTAAAAAGTTTTATTTGACTTTTGAAAATACAAATCTCAGTAGGCTTTCCAAAAAAGATCATTTTCCTAAAATACCTTTTTTATTCGGTCCTTGGTTAAGTTTAGTTTAGGAATGGTTTTTCCTTCATTAATAAATTAAAAAAACAATATCTTACAGTTTCAGATCCCTTGTTTTGGGCTCTCCCGTACCATCCCAGTGATATCTATTCTAGCGAGGATTGTTTTAGGTATTTGTTCAATTTGGGGGCAAACAAGAGGCAGCAAGAACAACCGAATCAACAAACAACACCATTCCGAGGGCCTCTCGTCAGTCGTCCTGTGTGTATGTCCTGTGTGTTTTCTGTTTGCCAAGTGGGTGGTCATGAAATGAAGCATTCTTTTAGCAGAGAGAGACGGCCATATGGGGGTAGAGAGAGATAGATAGAGAGGGAACAAGTTGCAGATACGTTTGCATAAGCCGAGACGTGTGTAACGTACCAAATTGTTATTTATTTTTTGAAGTGCCTGCGCCACTGCCTCTGTATATAGGTGTATCTGTGGAATTTGTAGCTGAACATGGTATCTGTGTTCCTGCCGGCAAATGTATGGGTGTGGGGATGCACAGATACATTGCTTATAGATACGTGCAACTTGTTTTGGGTCTTCACTGGCGTCTTGTTTGCTATTTGACGTCACATTTTGCCAAATTTACCGTGTAATTATCGGCAAAGGCGAAGGGAAGCATCGGAAAAACCAGGAAACGCAGCCCACCACCCACTGAAAAATGCAACAAGAAATGGGCAAATAAGTGGAGTTTTCCCGGTCCTGGTCCAACCCACCTGATATGCAAATTTCCATAGCTTTTTCTGTTTGCCCGGGACCCCAGGCATATATTTGTTTAACCGTAGTCAGAGCGAACCGGACAGTTTGATTTCGTTTCGGGGATTTCCATTTCATTTTTACCCACCTGGCCAACTATTTTGCACCTGCACGCACCCAACACGTAAGCTGAATATTTGCTATATGCTTGCCTAAACTGCAAATCTGAAATGAACTAATAAACCAATTGAAATGGAAAACATTTGCCCTGTTTTACACACGCACAAAAAATTAATTCCAAATAAATTGAAAAGCCATTGGACTGAACGTGCATTAATTTTGCTGCTCTCCGAAAAATAATGTATGCATGAATAATGAAGAAAATGATTTCATGGATATAATCTTTTGATATATTGTATTGTATCTTTTCCTAGTAATCTGTTTTCCTCGACCTGTTTCAATCATTTTTAAATTTATTAATAAATAATTTACATACATATTGTTACACAAAGCGATGCATTAAAAAACAGCCTATCACCGAGTGCAATCATACACAATAATTGTCATTCGGCACGGATTAAACGCTGTTTGCTAATGTAATCAAATTGGACAATTTCGACATTTGAACTAATCCGTTTACATAATCCGGATGCAATCATACCCCCGCCCGCTGATTACCGCCTTTGTTGCTTTGATTTAATTATGCCTGAAAAAATTCACACGAAATCGCAAAGCCGAAAACTAAATGAATTGCATAAATCATTTATTAAATAACAATTTCAAAATTGACTTTTATGGGCGGTGACCAGATTAAAAGGTTGCCAGGCGACGATAACATTTGCACTTGATAGTGGTAGAGTTGCAATTGTTTCTTGGGATGATTAGGGTTCCAGATTCTTTCAACATATAGACGAAGATTATCCGCTCCACTTTGTGTATTAGTTATTGTCCATGTTTCTTGGTAGTGAGAAGATGGAAGGTTAGCTCCTTTCCTTGGTTTCCAGTGAACGAACTGATGTTTACATGTAATGATTTC